GGCCTCACCACGACGTGCGCTTGCTTCCAGTTATGTTCTGGCGGTCACAGACCGGCATCGTGTACAAGGAGCCCGCCGAGAGCTGCAAGGACAGCCCCGTGCGCTGCGACGGCATCGTCGACTGCTCCCAGAGGAGCGACGAGCTGGGCTGCGGTGAGGCACCAGAGCCGGGGGCGGTGGGAACGAGGGGAGCCCCCGGGGCACTGGGTACCACTGACCCGCCTGCTCCATCCCCGCAGTGCGCTTCGCGTCCGACGAGTCCTTGCTCCACATCTACTCCAGCGCTGAGAGCCAGTGGCTGCCGGTGTGCAGCAGCGCCTGGGACGACTCCTTCTCCAGAAAGACCTGCCGGCAGCTGGGATTTCAGAAGTAATTCCCCGAGGACGAGTCATGCTGCTCGGGCACTGGGGCCCTGCCAGCCCCCTGGGCGTTGCTCTGGCCCTCCTGCCATGGCTGGGCGCATGGTGCCCTGTGCTCTTTCCCCCACCATTGCGCTTTTCCACTGGAAGGCTGCGTGCCCAGCGCTGATCTGGGCGTTGTAGTCTGTCCCCTTCAGGTTTAGTGTGTAGACCCCCCTAGAGAAGGCAGGGACCAGGCAGTCAGGGGAGCCAGGGGAGACCCTCACCGCCTCTCTCCTCTCTCCTCCTAGTGCATCACAGACTGAATACGTTCCCCTACGTGTCTCCGGCAAGAGCCTCAGCGTGACCGACGAGCGAGAGACCATCCAGCAGAGCCTCAACAGGTACCGGGCAGCGTCACCTCATGGCCCTGCCCATGCTCTGGTGCCGCAGGGCCGGGGCTGAGGCTGCATCTCCCCCTTCTCTCCCACAGCTCACAGTGTCTCACGGGAAAGTACGTCTCCCTCCGATGCACAAGTAAGGGGGCTGGTTGGCAGGGCGCGAGGCCAAGGGTGGCCGAGGCCAAACACGGGCTTGGGAGCGCTTTCCTCCTTTCTTTGCACAGGGTTGGGCAAATGGGGCGTTTTCCAGCAAACTTTCTGGGTAATAGAAAGCTACAAAGATTGCTTTCCCGTGGTCTCCACTGGCCCCTGTGAACCACCGAGCACCGCTGGTGCCCGCGGGTGGTGGGGACGTTGTGCGTGTCCCCCTCCAGCTTGCCTCCTCTTGGAGCCCTGCTCTCAGCCCTGCTCTCCCCTCCAGCCTGTGGGCAGAGGATTTCTGGCCGCATCATCGGAGGAAAGGAAACCTCTGTGAGCAAATGGCCCTGGCAAGTCAGCGTGCAGTTCGGGCCCATCCACATCTGCGGCGGCACCATCATCGACGCGCAGTGGGTCCTCACTGCAGCCCACTGCTTCTTCATGTGAGTGCTGCCACAGACGGCTGCCCGCAGTGATGCCGTCCAGCCCGGGGGCACCGGCTGCAGCCCTCGTGCCGGTACTCAGCCCAGCCCGGCGTCTCACTCCTTGCTGCCCCCATCTCGCCCTGCCCAGGAACAGCATGAAGATCCTCGACGACTGGAAGGTGTACGGTGGGGTCTCGGACCTGAAGCAGCATGCAGAAGGCATCCCTGTCTCCCAGGTCATTATCAACTCCAACTACAGCGATGATCACGATGACTACGACATCGCCCTCATGAAGCTCTCCCGGCCACTGACGCTCTCAGGTGAGGCCTCTCAGCTTGCTGTGCCGCTCGGCTGGGGCTGGTGTTTGGGGGGGGACAGAGAGTGCCCGGGGACGGGCAGGAGCAAGAGGCAGCTTGGGGCCCCTCGGAGCCGGCCCCGGGGCTGCTGCCAGCCGGAGCATCCCGCTCTGCTGTGGCCACACTGCTTTCCCCGACCTGTCCCGTGGTTGGGAAGTGGCCCATCCTTGCCGGCAGGGCCCGGCAGACATGCAGCTGTGGGCTTGGCTGTGCAGCCACCATGGTGCCACTGCCTGTGCCACGCGTGGACGGGGTGGCGGGGGGCTGGCAGGGACCCTGTCCCGGTGGGCGCAGAGGGGAATGTTTCCTGCACGCCAGGCTCCTCCCTAGCCGCAGGGCCAGTGACTTCAGCGGCTATTTTGCTCCTGGGTGACTCATCCCTCTCTCCTCGCCTGCTTTTCATCATGTCTCCCTCCAGCTCAGGTTCGCCCAGCCTGCCTCCCCATGTACGGCCAGCGATTCCAGACCGGCAGGTCCTGCTTCATCACGGGCTTTGGGAAGACCAGGGAGAACGAAGGTGAGGGAGGACGCCGGCTCTCTGCAGGTAGCTCCTGTGCGCCGCAGCCGACCTGCAAACGCAGCACGCGAGGGGCGAGTGCGGCTCTGCTGCAGTATTCGAGGGCCGTTGCCACAGGGGTGACTCGCAGCGGTCACCCTCCTGGCTGTACGGCTCTGCAGAATTAAAGCCTACAAGAAATACCAGCTTCCTCCCTCACTGCCACCGAAACGCCTGGTGCTGCGGAGAGGCCCTGGGGCGGCAGGGGGACGAAGCCCACCCTGCCCCACGGCTCCTCCTGCCTTGCAGATAACACGTCCCCGAAGCTGCGGGAAGCCGAGGTGAAGCTGATTGACTACAAGATCTGCAACAGCGACAAGGTGTACGAGGGCTACCTGACCCCACGGATGATGTGCGCCGGGTACCTGCAGGGAGGGAAAGACGCGTGCCAGGTGAGCCGGGGGCACAGGGTCCCACCAGCAAGCTGGGACCAGCGAGGATGCCTGCTTTCCAAATGCCGGTGTCCCCTGGCTGGGTACTGTCAGAGCGGCATCTCCTGTCTCCTCTCCTCACGGCTCTGTCCCTCGGTGCCAGGGTGACAGTGGAGGGCCCCTGGTCTGTGAGGACAATGGCCGCTGGTACGTGGCCGGGGTGACGAGCTGGGGGACAGGATGTGGCCAGAAGAACAAACCCGGTGTTTACACACGCGTGACAAAGCTCCTCAGCTGGATATACAGCAAAATGGAGGTGAGGTGGCACGGCAGGGCTGTGCTTGGGCAGGGACGCTTTTCAGGTGGCCCCGGGGGCATTGAGAGGGGCTGTATCCCCCCCAGCCCAGCCCATGGCACCTCACCCTTGCTCTCCCCTCTCCCTTGCAGAGCGAGAACGACTAAGAGCGGGATGGACGCTTGCCTGGACCGTGCCTCTCCGGCTGGCACAGGCTCCTGCCTTCGGTGGCCGCCAGGGCACGATGCTACCGGCAGATCCCCTCACCTCCCCCTGGACTGTCCGTGCAGCCAGGGGCACTTCGCTGCCCCCAACCTCCGAAAATACGGCGTCTGCAAAGTGACTCTGCCCTCGCCCAGTGCGAGGGAGGTGGCTTGGCGGCAGCCGGGCACAGCTCCCGGCATGCCCCGGCCCGGCAGCGCGCAGGG